AGAAAACATGATCCCCTTGAGTAAACTTACTGGCTTATTTACCTTGTATAGCCCCAATACTGATTCCTTGGGATAATTTCAATAAGAAGTGCATTCTGGAAGCATATTCCTTAATTTTAGGTTTATCACTTACCTGTGTGCTATTATCTTGAATAGGCAGGTAAAGCCAGTTTCTTCAGGACTGTGTGCAGTTCCATATTCATTTCTCCAAATGCAAAGTCAGTTTAAGAAACTCCAGTGGTGTTCATCTCCTCTCAGTTGTACTCATGCAGCTCATCACATGGAGTCCATCTGAAAACTAGCTGAAATGATCTGGGGTCAAAACCAAAAACCCACCCTACCTGCATACCACCCCAGAATTACCACCACGCTGGGACTGATCTTAAAACTGAAATGAGCGTGTTCGTCACCTTTTCCAAATGCTGACCAGTAAATTTAGTCACCCTAGAAGAAAGACCGCCCAGAATAATTTTTTAACCTTTTTATCCTGTTGACTCTCAGAGAAATTTTCCTTAGATTCCAAGTAGAACTGGCAGTTCAGGAAAACTTACATCATCTTAGTAGATGCTGACATACTGTTCAGAGTATGCCCTGTGATTTTTGCTTTTGCCTTCATTCTGATGTTAGGTACGTGTGAACTTCCTGGCTTCTGTCATCATGTTGGTGGTAAATAGGGAAATAGTTGAACTACAGCACTTATGTAGAGTGCAACTTTATACATGCACGTTGTAAATGCAGTGTGTGTGATATATGGAAAAAAAAAAATAACAGAAGCTGATAGAAACCACTCAGAACTAATTTGGGGTTGTTTGAGGCAGGGGAAAATCAGAGAAGGGATATTTGTACTTTCCCTGCAAGGAACATTCCAGAAGAGTGAATATTTGGATTCAATAGCTGTTGCTTTATATTTGCCACAGTTAAGCTCAACTGGATGGTGATTAAAACAGATTAGTTGTGTGGATTTGAAGGACAGAAGAGTTTTAAAAGTGGAGTTTGAGACCTCCATGCAGACTTTCCTGTGTCAGTAAGGTGTTTTCAATTTCACTCAGTCTTCAGCCACATAATGTGTAAGGCTCATCTGCTCGAGTAGTACTTGCAGCCTGTTTTATCTCCAGTTTCTGATACAAAGAAAAATAAGTTAGAAAGTTTTGGCTCTTCTGCCCTAGTCTTTCTCATGCCTTTTATGTCATAGTCTCTGTTAGTATCTGCTTCTATGAAGTGTTTCCAACCAAAGTGAAATGGTGCCTGAATTGTTGGTTCTGGAGGGGTGCAGAGC